CCTGGGCTCAAGTGAATCTCCTGCCTCAGCCTCCCAAGTAGCTGGGACCACAGGCACCTGCCACAACGCCCAGCTATTTTTTGGTTGCAGCCATCATTGTTTGATGGACCTGGGCTGGATTCAAAGCCACCACCTTAGGTGTATGTGGCTGGCGCCTTAGGCACTTTGAGCCACAGGCGCCGAGCCAAGATTAGAAGTTTTGGTTTGAAAATTGGCAAATAATTTTTTTTACCCTGTTCTTCTCTTAGGTGGTATCTTTAAAATAGCTTCCTGGGCAGATGTAGTGAATGCACACGTGGTACCTGGCTCGGGAGTTGTGAAGGGCCTACGGGAAGTAGGCCTGCCCTTGCATCGCGGGTGCCTGCTCATTGCAGAAATGAGCTCTGCTGGTTCCCTGGCCACTGGCAACTACACTAAAGCAGCAGTAAGTGACACGGGAACTATTACACTGCGTGCTGGAGGGCAGGAAATATCTTAATCAGGGTCATGGACCTGCCAAGAAAACAATCAGCGCTTGTGTGGCAGAATGTTACAGTAGTACTAGTTGATAAGAGTTCCTTGATAGTTAATAGCATTTCATATCTTATAGTGGACTCTTGAGGAGTTTGAATTGTACTCCTAGAAAAACATTGACATACAGATAGTCAAATGAACATCCACCTATACCTACCAGGCCTTTAAGGTAGTTGTCGTTTTCTTCTCTGTGAGTTGCCTCTGTCTCCGAGTCTCCCAAGGCCCACAGAGATGTACATTCTCAGGACAGCTGCCCACAGGAAGTAGCCTTATCTTATTCCTTTCTGATGTTGATTGGGTTTATGTGGACAAAGCTTGTAACCACAGTCCAGAGGCACTGTTTCCTCCAGGAACTATTCCATTATTAAAAGTTTCTAACACCACACACAGTACTCCCGCCCATTCCATTCCTGCCCCTGCATGCCAGAATAAATCAGGAGACAGATGATTACCTAGTTAAAAAGTTCCCCTTTACCTTTTCCTCTGGGTAAATTTTTAGTTGGGTAGTCACCTAAAGAGGTGAATACATCACCTTTAAAGCCTTTGCAGATACTATAAAAAATATAATATTACTTTTAAAAATTGCCATGAGAATTTTAATTTTTCATATTATTTCAAAGACTGTATATGGAGCTATTAAAAGTTCACACAGCCCTAGAGTCAGGTTTTAATTCTCTCCCCACCCCCCACCTCCTTAAGTTGACCATAAATGTCTGATTTCCCAAGTCTCAACAAGCAGGGGTACCCTAAGTTAGTGCTAATGTTTGGCATTCTGAGAGTCTGGGTCAAATTTGAGGACGAAACATCTTGTGGCCAGGCACAGTAACTTGCACGTGCAATCGTAGCACCCTGGGAGGCCAAGGTGAGAGGATTGCTTCAGCTCAGGAGTTGGAAACCTGCCTGAACAAAAGCAAGACCCTGTCTCTACTAAATAGAAAAATTATCCAGACGTTGTGGCAGGTGCCTATAGTCTCTACTACTTGGGAGGCTGAGGCAAGAGGATCACTTGAACCCAGGAGTTGGAGGTTTTGTGAGCTATGATGACACCACAGTACTGCAGTGAGTCAGTGGTAGTATTTAGTGGTATGAATAGATTGGTGTGAGTGTAGCCAAGCACACCTTCTAAAGAAACTTCAGTATAGAATTGGGGAGACCAGTTAATAGCAAATGTTAAAGGAGACCGAAAGTGAGAAATGAGTGAGAATTTTAACTCTTGAAAACTTAGCTGTTTTTTATATGATGGCTGCTTTTGGGTACGGAGTAGCCTGTGTAGATGGTCAATAAGCCTTGAACATGGTTTCATACGATTATGTGTTCTAGCCTACTCACCCCAGATGCTTTTGGGAAGTAGATAGGTCACCAAGTGTTACTAAAAAATAAATAACTATGCAGCATCTTGATTTTAGGTGCACTAGTATAGGTTTTTGTTAATGTAATTAATTGGTTAATCAAGGGCAAGTGTGGGAAAGGATCGTCTCAGGGTCTTAATAAAGCAAATAAATGTGTTTCATCATCACAATTCATACCTAAGATGATCTGTTTCAGATGTAGTTTATATCTGTGAAATGAGAAAAGGTAGCTATAACATAATAAAGTTTCTAACTAGTTAAAAAAATGGTTTTTTACTTTTGTAGAGCTGTTATTCTGTGTGATTAACTGTGTTCTTATAATATGTCCTATTCTGTTTAGGTCAGGATGGCTGAGGAGCACTCTGAATTTGTGATTGGTTTTATTTCTGGCTCCCGAGTAAGCATGAAACCAGAATTTCTTCACTTGACTCCAGGAGTTCAGTTAGAAGCAGGAGGTAAATCCATTCATTGGTCATGACTCTTTCAAAAATGCTGCTTTACCCACAGCAGGCAAATTAAACTTTGCATGTTACTATACAGTTGCTAAAGAGAAGCCTTCTTAGAACAATGACTGATGGGCCCTTTGGCCTGCCAGTACTGACTTAGAATCTCAAAGCAGCTTGCAGTCTAATTTTAGGATAAAAATTTAGACTGTTCATTGAAACATTCTGGAAAACTAATATTTTAGGTTACTATTTCTTATCTGGTGTTCTGAATACGCTACCAAAAGATGGTATTATGGTCAAGGAAGTGTGGAAAACCCTAGGCCAGCAAAATTAAAGATGGTTTCTCTGTTAAAGACCTTTGGTGTGCTGATGTCTATTGTGAATCTCCAGTGTGAGATGTGGTTCTGTCATGTTTACCAAGCTTATTTGAACATGTAACATTTTCAGCAGCCTAAAAATGCAATTAGAATGGCTAAAAAGCAGTACTAATTTTCCCATTAATGGTCTTCTCTTCAGTAAAGGAATAATCTAGGTTATAAAAACATACATATTTAACTGTCCTGTAGGAGTCAATAAAGCTACTTCAGTTTTGAATGAGGAAGAAGTTATCAGAAAACAATAATTTTTCTTGAATTGGTTATTATGCAAGAAAGGTTGCTCATCATAGTTAACTGGAGTTCTTTCTGTCCCTTTCCTTCTTTAAATTTTAGGTTAGGCTTACAAAGTTGAAGATTGGAACTGGGTTCTCAGTTTATAAAACCATTAAAATGAAAACGACTAGGTCACACCTCAGTGGAATTTGTCAGATTGACAGCTCTGATTTTCTTTTTTTACCATTGTGAAGTTCAAAAGATACCTTGAAAGATATTAAAAGGAAAGTAGATTTTTAAATGAGTCATTCTCATATAACTCATGCCTCCTTCTCCCCACACCAGTCCAGCTTTCCTCTCCAGAGATAACTGCCTACCTGGTGTGATGTGTGTCCACCCAGACCTGTGGCTTTGCGTATGCTCAGATATGCACATGCAGAGTTGAGAGAACGTTTTGTTATATGCACTTTCAACTTTCATGCCCACAGTTACCCATTCCCCTTAACAACTGCATAGGGCTTTCTTGTTAGGTCATAATGTGGTTTAACCATTCTCCTGTGGAAGCATTTAGATTGTTTAGAAATGGGATATCCTCACATATGTATGTGTACTTATAGAGTATTTCTGGAGTAATTCTTCCAACTAGACCTGACGCTCCTTCAGGATGAGAACTCTTTCTGAAGAATGCACTTCCCCCAGATGTTGAAGGAATGAACAGCTGTTTAGAGACAGATGAAAGAGTGTTTCTGAGAGGGGCGAGATACACACTGACTAGGTCCTGCTTGAGGTTTATAATGTCAAGAAGGGTATGAGTTTGGGAAACCTTAGTTTTCTTTTTAAACCCTGAAACACTGTGACTAGTGTATCCATTAATCTTGGAGGAGGTAATTATTTTGTATAGATAATATGTGGGTCATTATGAAAGTTTTGAGATATACAGAAATCAAGAAATGGAAAATCCACATACACAGAAATGAATGCAGCCCTCCCAACAACACTGATAAACCGAGCAAGTTGAAACTTGCTTGGGGGAATCAGAAAGGACATTTTTGCCAACAGCGTTTCGTAGAAGTGAATTAATGGACTGTAACACAGTCATAGTGTTACTACCAATACTTAAGAAAAAGAAGGAACTGCCTTTGGGTTATTTTGTTTTCAATTAAGTACTTTAAACAGGAAACATTACTGAAGGTTAATCAGGAAGAAAACTCATAGGCTGATGAGAATTCAGATAAGTAGACTAATGGATAGTAGCGTACCCTGCCAGGTTAAAGGATATTGAAGGTTTCCTATGCTGTTTCCCAACTTTTACATTTCAGATTTTATAGCAGATGACTTGCCTAAGGCTTTAATAATTGCCTTGGGTTTGGCTTTTTTTTATTTTTTATTTTTTTGTAGTGTTTGGCGGGGGCTGGGTTTAAACCCGCAACCTCCAGTATATGGGGCCGGCACCCTACTCCTTTGAGCCACAGGCGCCGCCCAGGGTTTTGGCATTTTTTAAAGTTTCACATTTATGAATCAGATAGATTTAGGTTCCTGGCCGTTCCTACTTGTGACCGTGTATCTTTGGACAAGTCACTTTATTTCTTATTGTTTCATTTTCTTAATCTATGAAATGGAGATAATAACATAATTGGCCTCAGGCTAATTGAGAGGCTTTACTAAGATAATGTATCAAGCATTCAATACACATCTTGGCATAGAGGATTTTTTTTAAGCCTCCACAATTCCTTGACTAGTACAGAAAGAGTCTGGGTTTTTAGGAATATTTAAAATATTTTAGATTTGAAAGATAATAAGTCATTTAACAAAACAGCAGAATTCTTCTGCTTCTAGAACAGCAAAATTTTAAAAAGACCAAGAGAGCAAAAATCAGAGATTAGGATTTGTGCATAGTCTGTGTGACTGCCTGATAGAGCTGTGGCAGAAATGTCCCTGGTGATAGTTGGGTGAGATGCCTTTGGAGGACTTTCCCAGGAGTGCATCACAGTGATTCTGAGATGTGTGCTGAAGTTGTCTTCAATTTTGAGGCCAAGTTTTATTGTATCTTTTTTTTTTGAGACAGAGTCTCACTTTCTTGCCCCTGGTAGAATACTGTGACATTATAACTCACAGCAACCTCAAACTCTTTGGGCTCAAGTGATCCTCCTGCCTCAGCCTCCCAAGTAGCTGGGACTACAGGTGTCCACCACAACATCTGGCAATTTTTTTTATAGACAGAGTCTCACTCTTGCTCAGGCTGATCTCAAACTCGTGAACTCAAGCAGTCCACCTGGCTTGGCCTCCCAGAGTTCTGGGATTACAGGCATGAGCCACCATGCCCAATATTTTATTGTATCTTATTCACATTGATTCTTTCTTGGCCACATAGGAAATTTACTTCGTTGTTTCTTGATATTGTTAAAATATAGATGATCTACAATTCAATATTGAGAGGATTGGTTAGCCTCCTCCACCGTGGAGGTCTCTGGCCTATCTAGGTAGCCTCTTTAGACACTTTTGTTACCTGCTTGTTGTACAGACAGAGCATGGAAATCAGAGGCATGTTTTTATTTAAAGCTAGTTAGATATTTTGTCAGAGAAGTCATGTGACAAGGTTCTTGATTTCTGCGTTATGTTAAATAGTAGCTTTTGTGTTTTTCCAGGGGATACTCTTGGCCAGCAGTACAATAGCCCACAAGAAGTTATCAGCAAACGAGGTTCTGATATCATCATTGTAGGCCGGGGCATAATCTCAGCAGCTAATCGCCTGGAAGCAGCAGAGATCTACAGAAAGGTTGCTTGGGAAGCTTATTTGAATAGACTTGGTATTTGAGTGTCTTGGATTTTTTGTGAAGACGTTGAAGATATGTGGTCTCCTGAAAGTCGCTGTTTTGAAATGATCAGCACCCTTTACTACTGGTTGGATTCTTCCACAGGGCCTATGCGGGAATGGCTTCTGGAGTTATGATGGTCTTTAGGAAATATTGAGTGACTTGTACTCACTCCATTGTTTCTATAATACATTCATTCTCAAGTTCACTTTTATTAAAATGGATGTTTGGTAGACACCCACAGTCCTGTCTGTGCTAGTGTCTTCCACATTTTAGGATTACTCCTTTCTCTAAACAGGAGTATACTATTTTTTAATTCTTGTAATTACAATGAGACAAAATTTCTAGGGCATAAAGAGGCAAAAACCAGTATAGCATTTCTTAGGTTCTTTATTCTCTGTCTAATGTGTTACCCAAATAATATCTAAATATTAGCCATTCTCCTCCTCCTCCTTAAAAGTGTCAGTCCAGGTATCCAAATGGTGCAGGTTTCTAGGACTGCTGTTGCTCACTCATCAAAGAGGGCAGGGTGGGGAAGGAGAAGATGGCTGCTGCTCCTACCCTAAGTCAATCTGTGGCTGTCATTTCCACAAGTGATGTGGGGTTCCGGCTCACTCCTTCCCTTAGTAGAACAGTGGTGAAACTCAGGCACAGCATACTTCAAAAGGTCTGTGGGAGCTTGGCACCTGTGGCTCAAGTGGCTAAGGCGCCAGCCACATACACCTGAGCTAGCAGGTTCGAATGCAGCCCCGGCCCGCCAAACAACAATGATGGCTGCAACCAAAAAATAGCCAGGTGTTGTGACAGGTGCCTGTAGTCCCAGCTACTTGGGAGGCTGAGGCAGGAGACTCATTTAAGCCCAGGAGTTGGAGGTTTCTGTGAGCTGCGATGCCACGGCACTCTACCCAGGGTGACAGCTTGAGGCTCTGTCTCAAAAAAGAAAAAAGAAAGGTCTGTGGGTATTTGCTTAAGGACAGTGTCAGACGACACTTGCCAGCTGTTTCCACCCCTAACTGCCCATTCTTTAATGACTCAGGAGAGCCTAGGATTCTAACTCAGATTATTATTATGTTTCTTCTAAAAGTTTCTACTTTAAGAACTGTGCCAACGTGCAGTTTGAACTTCAGGTCCCTATTACTGTGAGTCCCTCTGCGAGAAAGAGACAAGTTATCAAGGAAGAAGCAGTCAGTAGAAAAAGGAAGGGGCTTAGCCCTGGGGGCTACTCTAAGAGAGCCAGAAGTTGTGAAGGGAAGGAGAATTTCTTGAATTTCCTGCAACTTGCAGAAATCTCAGGTGTCTTCTAAGTCTTGAGAACAGAGGCTGAGAAGCCTTGGAGTTCTGTGCTGATGTGGCTGCTCTGACTAGATCAGCAATTTTCTCACTTTATCAGATAGCAGATTCACCTGGCCTCTGGCAAAAATGGGCCTCGCCCCGCCTGCAGCATTTCTGACTCTGGGCAGCACTGGGCTGGCACTGAAGAATTTGCATTTCTAACAAGGTCTCAGGTGACAGTGAGGCTGCTACTGTTGTGACCAAGCAGAGCCTCTTCACTGGTTAGTCACGTTTTGCCTCTGCAGTGACATAGCCTTTAGGTCTTTCTCACCTGCTGAAAGTCACCTACTCCTGACTTTCCTTCAAAAGTGCCATCTCTGGGATGCGGGATGGGGTGCTGTACGTGTTCCTGAAGCTCACCCAGGACCCTGCTAGGTGACTTGAGGGGAAATTAGAAGAATCATCTGGCACCTGGTGTTTATTAAAGGGCAGGTTCCTGTACTTCACGGGGTCAGATACTCTGTTTTAGCACATGGGGGTTGGCTCAGCAACCTGGGCATCCCAGGTGGTTCTGATATTTCTTAAGGACGAGCCCAGTGTTGCAGGCCTCTTACCTAAGCAAAGGCCCGAACTGTCTGAAGTCAAAACTTCGGAGGACAAAGTGATTCAGACAGACAAGCACTTGGGCTGTGAGAGTGCTGTTCTTCAGCACTGAAGTAAGGTGAGGCATTAGATAGTTTAGCCTTTTTCTAGTGAAGGAGCATTGACAGAACAGGAGCTCCAGGCACGTGACATCTGCCCTCCTGGGGAAGACAGAACAGTCCCGACTGGATGCAAAAAAATAACCTGGAAGACTAATGGAGAGGAGATCATCGCCTGGCCTCTTCCACTCCTCTGGGCATTTTGTAGAGTATACACCTGTGGATTTTTAGTGCTGGGGAACCAAAAATGCCAGCTAGTTAGGGCCTCTTACTTGGGAGCTGTAGAAGACCAGCCCTGGAGTCTCAGTCCCAACTCTCACTCTCAAGCTGATACCAGTCAGCTCTAAGAAAAGCTGCTGACAGCAGCCCTGGGGCTGTTTAAAACTTGCCTCGAAAACACACCGGAGGGGGGTGGCAAGGAGTAGGGTGCTGGCCCCATATGCCGGAGGTAGCAGGTTCAAACCCAGCCCTGGCCAAAAATTGCAAAAAAAAAAAAGCACCGGAGGGTGTAGATGTCAGCCCGAGGACATTTTTAATGTTCTTTCTTCCCAACTCCTTTTCGCCTACCTCCGCAGAACAAAATAGCTGCCAGGACCAACGTGTAGGCGAGGGGCGAGGACGAGCTGTCTGTGTGACCATAGACCCTGTTGGGATCCAAGACAGAAGACAGGTGCAGTCTTCTTTAAGCTGGCCCCAGAGGGCCAACTGGCTCTTCTCAGCTTGGAGGAACTGAGTTTCTGACAGCTGAAGAGGATGGCAGCTTCCTGGTTAGTGTAGTGCCAGCCAAAGCGCAGTTCGCAGGCCTCCTAGCAACCCTGGGTTTGCTGCCGCGGGAAAGTTGTACAGAATTGAGGGTAGGCAGGAGAAAATAAAGCACCTGTGCAAATCTAGCAACAGGAGAAGAAAGCAAAGAATACGCGGAACAGGTGTAGAAACAAAGTTATTGCTCATTGCTGAGTTCTCAGCCCAGGAATGGGGCCCAGGAAATGTTTCTAAATGAATGGATGAATAAGCAGCCCCTAGTGAACATGGACTACCAGAGGGAACAGACTAAACTCCAGCCACCAAGACTGACCAAAAACAAGACACACAATATTTTGTTTCAGGAACTAAAAATAAAAGTTTTTGAATTTGAAAATTTGATGGCAAATTCTAAGAAGGAGACAGTAATATTGAGAACCATTATCATGGGATGGAAGATCATATGAAGAAATATACCAAAATTTCAACCCCAAAGTACAAAGAAATAGAAACAGTAAGGGAGTAGATAAGAAGAGGCTTAGAAGAAGGATCCGTGACTATTAAGAGAAAAAGATGTAACTGAGGAGAGGAAATGATTACAGAAATAATTGAAAATTTCCACAATTTGAAAAAGTACTTGAGTCTGCAGATTAAAAGAGCCCACTGAGTTCCAGGCAGAAGCTACAAAGAAATTCCTAGGCATAGCCTATAAAAATGATTGCACTTCAAATATAGAAATTATACAAGCCTTTAGAAGAATAAATTGCATGCAGCGTAAAAGGAATCAGACCAGATGCAGATTGGTGTTTGTAGCACTGGAAGCTTGGAGAGACAGGTAATGACACCCACAGGCCCTGAGAAGAAAGGACCAGTCATAACCAAGCATCCCGGTCCCCTTTTAGCATCCTGATGTGAGCGTTTCTATCTCCTTCAGAATGTTTCGGTGTCCTGGGCTCTGGAGTCAGGCCTCACTAAGTGAGATGCACAGAGTATGTGCCTTCAGAGGCTGTCAGGGCAGAGGTAAACCAGGTGTATCTAGTGATAGGAATGGAAGCTGTCGGCTGGTAGCTGAAGTGGTGAGCATATTCAGAATGAAGAAACTGAACCTGGCAGCCCCTTAGAGACCCTCTAATCCAATCAGTCCATTTCACAGAGAAAGAAATTCAAGCCCATTGAGAAATGATTTGCCCAAAATTGCAGAAAAGCCCGTTCCAGACAGACTAGAATCCTTCTCTCTTGACGGTAGTGTTTTTGTTACTACATTCTTTCTACTCCTTTTCTGTAATTCCCTTTTTTTATCCTTTTGTGTCTCGTAAGAGATATCAGCTCATCTTTCCTTATCCATCATACTCAGACAGGCCTTGCTACAGTAAACTAAATCTTTCTGACCTCCTGCCCCCCTTTCACCTGCCAAGGGCAGTACTCTGATCTGATAGTGGGCCATGAGACCCTAACTGCAGGGGGCCTGCAGGAAGGAGTGCTGCAGAGAGGCACCGAGAAGAGTCTGAACAGACCTGCCTTGCTGGGGTGAGCTTAGTTGTCATGCTTCACCCATGCCTGTCCAATGACATTGCTATAAAAAGCCCAAGAGGGTGGGGTTTGGGGGCGTCTGGAGAGCTGAACACAGGAAGGTGAACAAGACAAGAAGAAGGGTGGCACACCCAATTCCACAAGGCAGAAGCTCTTGTGCTCGGGACCCTAGCAGGCCTTGCTCTGTTCATTTGTATCCTTTAAAATATCCTCTGTAATAAATCAGTAAACATGGTTCCCTGAGTTCCTGAGTTCCCATGGTTCCCTGAGTTTAACTCTAGAAAGTTAAACCCAAAGAGGGGATCGTGGAAACCCCAACTTGAAGCTGGTCAGTCAGAAGTCCTAGAGGCCTGCACTTGCAACTGAGGTCTGAGGGGGACAGATTTGGGGACTGAGCCCTCAACCTATGGGATCTGACGCTATCTCCAGGTAGACAATGTCAGATTGAACTGGGGGACACCCAGTTGGTATCCACTGCAGGACTGCTTGCTTGCTAGTGAGGCGAAGTCCCCACCTGGTTTGGAGCAGAGAAGTCGTCTGTGTCAGCTGTGGTGTTGGAATGAGAACCAGGGAAAAGAGCAGTTCTGGTTTTTCCTAACATTGCTGCCAGGATCCAATATACAACACCAAACTAAGTGGCAGATTGTATATTGTTCCCAATTCTTCCCTCCCTGAATCCAGACACTTTGGCACGTGGCTCAGCAGCTCCCTCCCACAGGAAGTGGAAAATATTGCCCCACCCCACTGATGTTGGCCTCCCCTTGTGTGATTTCTTTTGGTGACAGAATATCACCTGCTGCCAGTTCTGAGCCAAGCTCATGCGTTTCTGCTCACCTCTACTGACATCTGCCACCACCCTCGAGAGGAACATGCCCTGGTTAGTCCTCTGGTCACAGAAGAATGAGAGAAAGGCAGAGCAGCCCGGCTCCAGCCCCGTGGCGTGCTGACGGGTGCTCCCGC